TCATTACCCTTGTTTTAGGGTTTACGTAGGGTTTAGGGTTTAGGGCTCAGTATGTTACAGTATGCTAGGACCCAGAGTAGGCCCTTTGTCCCCTTTTGTTTTTGGCTTTGGGTTCTCTTCTTGGCCCTTTAAAGCCAGGAAAGGCACCCTTGTTGTTCCTAGGTTACTGTTGGGTCTAGTAGTCCTAAACCCTAAACCCTAAACCCTAAACCCAGCAGAGCAACCTGTAAAACCCCAACACTAAGCTGGGCCTCCAAGGATAACCGGGCTTTCATCCGAGTGTTCGAGGCGGGGGCAGGCGGGAACTGGACCTTGGCGCACCTAGGCCCCAACCTGGGCTTGGGGTTTCTAGGGCTTAGGGGTTCAGGGTTCAGGGTTTAGGGTTCAGGGTTTAGGGTTTTGGGTTTAGGGTTTTAGGTTTTAGGGTTTAGAGCCGTTCAAAATTGTGTGGAGCTTTTCTTTTCGTGGTCTCGAACCCTCAAGCCCAAGAAAAATGCTTTCCGGATGTCTGTTTGTGGTCGAACCTGTTATGAAAGAGGATCCTGAACATGCATCTTAGAACAACCTGAACTACTGGGTTTGGCCGGGGGCAGAAGCCTACAGCGGATACCCCAAACCCTACCATTAACCCCACTCTAAACTCCACCCGAAACCCTAAACCCTAAACTTCCCTAAACTCTAAACCAAGGAAGCCGAAACCTTGCAAAGAGGCCTTAAAAAAGCGGGAATCGGCGCACGAAGAAGATTCAGGGTTTAGGGTTCAGGGTATGGAGTGGGTGGGTTGGGGTGGCTTGGCAAATGACGCGATCGCACAGCACCCTAAACCCTAAACCCTAAACCCTAAACCCTAAACCCTAAACCCTAAACAGCCTGGGGCTTTTCACACCCGAGCTCGCGCCCTCGCCTCACAGACCCCAAGCCCCACGGTTTAGGGTGCAGTACAAATCCAAAAACCCTATAAGCCCTATAAACCATATAAACCCTAAATGCTAAACCCTAAACATGCGCGCTCCGATAGGTGCCAGGAGTGTATATTTGGTTTATGGTTTGGTTTGGGGTTTGGGGTTTTGGGTTTAGGGTGTAGGTCCCTGTGAAGGGGTTGGGGCTTGGCAGTGTAAGATGTGAGGGGCTTAGGGCATAGGGTAGTTCAGGGCCAAGTACTTAAAGTTTAGGGTTTAGGGCTTATATCTATTGGCAGAGCTTCGGGGGCTTGAGCTTAGTTTGCATGTTCTGACTTCTCTGATTCCAGTATATGTCCCTGTTCTACCACGGCCACTTGCAGCATAGTTCGGGGTAGAAAGCTGACCACACGGACCCCAAACCCGAAACTACCCTAAACCCTGCACAGCCAAGGCGTACCTTCAACCGGTCTTCTACGCACTTTGCCTATGCTCCCAGCCTGGGATTGTCTGCAGAGGCGTTAGTCGTGGTAGAGGAAGAGTACGGCATCCCGGCCCTGGGTATCATCTACAGCTGCAATGACACTCTGTCGTTCGTTGGGGTTTAGGGTTTAGGGTTTAGGGTTTAGGGTTTAGGGTTTAGGGTTTAGGGTTTAGGGTTTAGGGTTTAGGGTTTAGGGTTTAGGGGACCTGGTGTAGGGTTTAGGGTTTGGGGTTTGGGGTTTTAGGGCAGGGTGTAGGGTCGTTACTGCAAGCTGAGATCCTTGGCGGTTTTGGGTGTTTGTCTTGCAAGGTAGCTAGAGGCTAAACGTATTTCTTTCACTCGGCAGCCAAAGTGCAGCCAAGGACACTGAGATCAAGACGCAGGGCTGCTTTCAGCGGTGCACCGAACGCTTTCCTCAATGGTGGCTTCGCCGCTGGAGTTTGTGCATACGGCTCTGCAGTGCCCGGCGTCAGTTCCGTCCATTGTACAGCGATGGGGACTAGGCAAAGACCAAATTTGGGAGCAACTACCCTGTATATCTGGGCATCAGTCCTGTATAGCGAGAAGCATGACGAATTCACAAGCTTGACTACGCTGCGGGAAACTTCGCGGTTCAGGGCCAGATTGTAGATTCTGGCCTGCCTACTCTAGGATGCCCAGTAGTACCCTTATTCCCTTTTTGGGGGGTTTAGGCTCCCTTCTAAACCCCTTTAAGCAAAAAAGGGCACCCTTTTTACCCCTTGGTTACTGGGCAGCCTAGTACGTATGACACTCCCCATCTGGCATATTTCGGGATCTGTCCGGACTCAGTTTGCGCGAGGCTGAGAATGGGTGGTAGGGTCCAAGAAACAGAGTCCCTAAACCCTAAACCCTAAACCCTAAACCCTAAACCCTAAACCCTAAACCCTAAACCCTAGGACAGAGAGTGGGCTCCTATTCCCTTTTTTTAGGTTTCAGGTTCTCTCATAGGCCCCCTTTAAACCACAAAGGGCACCCTTTTTATTCCTGGGCTTGGGTCTGGTAGCCCTAAACCCTAAACCCTAAACCCTAAACCCTAAACCCTAAACCCTAAACCCTAAACCCTAAACCCTAAACCCTAAACTACCCTAAAACCCTAAACCCTAAAACCCCAAACCCTAAACCCTAAACCGCGGAGAAAATGTTGCTGAACCCGAGGCTGCTCCGGAAACATGCGTGGACATAGGGGAATCCCGCCCTCCCCCGTCATCTCCACCTGAAGACATAAAGAATGTGGTTCCTTGTGAGGGTTTAGGGTTTAGGGCTTAGGGTTTGGGGTTTAGGGTTTAGGGCTTAGGGCTTAGGGTTGGAAAAAGCCACAAAGGACCCCAAAAGGAACTACAGTGGAGTCTTCAGGCATACTTACATTGTTCAGGAGCTCCGCGCCCGCCAGTTGTGAGACAAAAGGGCAGACGATACAGCCCGTCACACATTGGCAGAAGCCCTATAAACCTTAAACCCTTAGCCAAAAGCCCTAAACCCTACACCGCATTGTGATCATCTTTCTGACCCTTAAAGCACCTTATTGAACAAAGAATATCCAAACTCTAAGCTCTACATCCTAAATCCCAAGCCCTCAGACCCTTTACAAGGCAAAGCTCCTAAACCCTAAGCCCTAGACCCTAAACCCCATTCCCTAGACCCCCTACCCGGAAGAGGACTCCCCATCCTCCTGAGAAGTCCCCCAAAAGGGCAAGATGTAGGGTGTTGCAAATTCGGGTTCGTGTTTCAGTAACCCTCAACCTGAAACCCCAAACCCCAAACCCCAAACCCTAAACCCTATACCCTAAACCCTGAATTAGAATATAGGGCCTCAATCCTAACTTTCAGGTTTTGGGAGTCCCCCCCCCCCCCGGCACCCCCACGGCGAGTTGAGGCTTCGAAGGCTTTATCTTCAAAGAAACACGATATTGTGCTGGTTCTTCGGCTAGACCCCCCCCCACCCCGATTCAAGGGTTAAGATTTAAAGGGCTTAGGGGGGTTAAGGGGTTTAGGGTTAGGGTTTAAGGGTTTAGGGTCTAAGTCAGAGCGCCAAAGAAGGGGTTTGGGAGTAGCGGCTTCCAACAGACTTAGGGTTTGGGGTTCATCGTTACCACAAGCAAGGGGGTTTTGGAGGCCGCTAACCCCCTTCCTAAACCAGAATGATTCGATCGAAACCCCGGTTTACCTAAACCCCCGAAATATGACAAACAAAAACTAAAGGGTCCTTGTGTATGGGTTTTGGACTACTTTTTTGACATATCCTGGGGGTCCAGGTAGGGGATTGGGGGTTTAGGGCCGAATGCTCGAGCAATGAAGGACACACGTGCCCAAGTTCCCAAGATTCCCAACACTTGCCCTTTACTATCGGGGCCTTAATGATTAGAATAGGGTATTGGGGGTTGTTATAGTAGAATATATTGGAACCATAAGGGAATACCATTAGTAATTATTCCTAGGACCCAGAGTAGGCACTTATTCCTTTTTGGGGCTTCAGGTTCTCGTATCGGCCCCTGTACATTCCTTGGGTACTCTTGGGTCTAGTGGCCCTAAACCCTAAACCCTAAACCCTCGTGGCCCGTTGACACTGTCGCCTGAGATTCTGCGCCGACGCTGTTTGCACTCAAGCGTCACCAATCGTGGCACGCCATCGGCTGCCAGCCTCGGTTCTCACACGGTTCAGGGTTTTTTTCGGGTTAAGGGTTTTAGGGTTTCGGGTTTAGGGTTTAGGGTTTCGGGTTTAGGGTTTAGGGTTTAGGGTTTAGGGTTTAGGGTTTAGGGTTTAGGGTCTAGGCATCATCGGACGACAGTAAGGTTTTATAGGGTTCAGGGTTTCGGGCGTTTGCATGCGAACAGCCAGCAGAAGTCGTACGTTGGATGCGACAGCCTTGCACGAGGCCGTTTCCCCAGACAGGTGGTGCGTGACCTGTGACCTGGTAGCTCCCGAAGCTCTAAACACTAAACCCTTTTGCGCTTTTTGGGCTATTCTGTTGTACGAAAACCAAGACGGGCACCCTTGCAAAGCCCTAAACCCTAAACCCGAAACCCTAAACCCTAACCCTAAACCCTAAACCCTTGTCGTAGTAAAGTTGCCGGGGGCGACCAAAGGCGAAGACTTGAAGTACTTGCGCCGTGAAGTCCAACGAGCCATCTCGGAACCTTGGGGACCGAAAACCCTAAACCCTAAACCCTAAACCCTAGACCCTAGACCCTAGACCCTAAACCCTAAACCCTAAGCCCTAAAGTTGGCACCATATACCCGGCCCTTGTATAGAATCCCTACTACGGGAGAAGATCTGGCCACAAAACGCTTTTTTAGGGTTAAGCGTTTCAGGGTTTAGGGTTTAGGGTTTTTTAGGGTCCCAAGGAAGGAAGTATCTACCCTCCCCCGGATGGTACGGACGACTTCGAGTCTGATGGCCAGCATCTTGGTGGCCCGCGGTACCCTTTTTTTTGTTGAGTAGCCCTAAAACCCTAAACCCTAAACCCTAAACCCTAAAGCCCCCCCAAAAACGGGCTGCCCTTGTCAGAATTTGGTTGCTGGGCTACCAAGGTATGGCCCGAGCATCTACACTGTGAATGAACAGCACATCAAGCCGGTAACTGAGCATGCCGGCAAGATGAGCTCCTTAGTGCGGTTTAGGGTTTAGGCTTTAGGGCTTAGGGTTTGGGGTTTAGGGCTTAGGGTTTAGGGTTTAAGACTACAGCCCCCTAAACATTGGGATCTTCTTATCCAACTCGACCATCAGCTCTCGAAGAATGTCTCATGTGGTACCACAAACCTTGCCTTTCGGGGTAAACCCTAAACCCTAAACCCTAAACCCTAAACCCTAAACCCTAAACCCTAAACTCGCCAGGCTGGGCGCTGATGAGGAACCCAGAAGGCTTGAACTGCGACGTCTTCATCAGCCACGCATGGAAAGAGGGCATCTATGAGTTCGCTGGTCTGTGATTCTTAGTGGGTTTAGGGTTTAGGGTTTAGGGTTTAGGGTTTAGGGTTTTACCCCTTTGCCCGAAGGGTCCGAAGGTACCTTAGTAGAAAGTCGGGCTTCTATGATAGGAATTTCTGTTATGGTTTGGGTAAGCGTCCCCCCCATATAGGTGCTTAGGACCCTTTGGGTTGGTGGTTCAAAACCCAACCTGTTCCGACTCCGGGCTTCTTTTCAGGTAGTCTTATTCTGAAAGTTTGAACTTTTACCCCATGGGTATTTGGTTTAGGGTTTAGGGTTTAGGGTTTAGGGTTTAGGGTTTAGGGTTTAGGGTTTAGGGTTTAGGGTTTAGGGTTTAGGGGCCTTCTAGGACCCAGAGTAGGCCCTCATTGCCGTTGTTTAGGGTCTGGGTTCCCTTGTGTGCCCTTTTGAACCCAAAGAGGTACGGTCGAACTTTATCTTAAGAAGATCACAAGACCTGTTCAGAGTCTCAGATTTCTTAAAACGCTTGTTGGCAAAGAAAGGTTAAACCCTAAACCCTACGTACCACAACACAACATAGGGATCTTTCTGGGCGAGGGTCTGAACAAAAAAAAATTCTGGGCCGGCCAGAGTCAAATTTCTTCTGAATGAGTAACCCTAAACCCTAAACCCTAAACCCTAAACCCTAAACCCTAAACCCTAAACCCTAAACCCTAAACCCTAAACCCTAAATATGAGATCTCAGGTTCATCTGCAAGGTCCTGCACTCCTGGCCTCGATCGGCTCGCAATGCTTGGTGCTGCATGCTGGCGAATCCTCAGCATCTTGACATCGGAGCCTTGGTAGCCGAGTGGTACCCTTCTCCTTTTCGTTTTTTTTTTTTTTTTTGGGGGGGGGGGGGGGTAGGGTTTAGGGTTTAGGGTTTAGGGTTTAGGGTTTAGGGTTTAGGGTTTAGGGTTTAGGGTTTAGGGTTTAGGGTTTAGGGTTTAGGGTTTTAGGGTTTAGGGTTTAGGGTTTAGGGTTTAGGGTTACTGGGCTACCAAGGAGCACTACTCCAGGCTCCAAAGAACTCTCCTTTTGCCCTGGCCCTTCAGGAATCTTGGGGAGACATTGGGAATCTTGTATGAATTTTCGGGCGCAAAAAAAATCAGAAACCCCTAAACCCTAAACCCTAAACCCTAAACCCTTAAAATTTCTGCTAGGGCTCCAAGTTCAGTATAGGAATCTTCATGTGTCCTCGTGGTGCCGAACCGGCACAGCAGCGTCTACACCAGGCTCTGGTGCGCCTACGAAGCTTATGTCGCCTCAGAAGCTGGCAAGGAGATTGTAGGGGACCTTCGGGGTTTAGGGTTTAGGGTTTAGGGTTTAGGGTTTAGGGTTTAGGGGATATATAGGGACTATATAAGGTCTATAGAGGGGTTAACCAGGGGAATAAGATTGAGGGTCCCTTCTGTAGCCCCTTGAAAGGAGATTCTCATTGCCAGGGCCTCCATTCGGCAGCAGGTCCTGCATTCCTTGCTCTACCTTGGTGCAGCGGCCACGTTGGGCATTCTTTTGGGCTTTCTGGCGCGCCTGCTCTTATCTCGCCTGAGCTCTGTCTTCTTGATCCTCGCCTTTGGGGCCGCGCTCTGTACCTTGGGGGGCCTAGGGTTTAGGGTTTAGGGTTTAGGGTTTAGGGTTTAGGGTTTAGGGTTTAGGGTTTAGGGTTTAGGGTTTAGGGTTTAGGGTTTGCGGTGCATGCACCTCAATAATCGGGAAGTTGGGTATGCTAGGGTGTATGATGCCACTGTTAAGGCTGCGTTTCCGAGGACCCAGAGTAGGCCCTTGTTCCCTGTTTTAGGGTTCGGGTTCTCTTATAAGCCCCCTTACAACCAAAAAGGGTTTAGGGTTTAGGGTTTAGGGTTTAGGGTTTAGGGTTTAGGGTTTAGGGTACCCTTTTATTTCTAGGTTACTCTTGGGTCTAGCAGGCCTAAACCCTAAACCTTAAAACCCCCGAGGCAGCTCGATTATACAGAGCGATCGCGCGCGCATGGCGCTGAACTGCGTGGGTGAAATGGCCTGCGGCTTCTCGATCGTGAACTGGAGCACGGTGCACCCCTGGCTGCCACTGCAGGACCTCCCAGGCATGGGTACCCTAAACCCGAAACCCGAAACCCTAAACCCTAAACCCTAAACTCTAAACCCTAAACCCTAAACCCTAAACCCTAACCTTCCCAGGCCTGGTCCCCATCATTGAGCAGAGATTCATCTGGCTCGTCGGCATCAGCTTGTTCTGCATGATGGAGGCCCTCCGGTCATGCAAGATGTTCCGAGTTCTTCCCATATTCTTTTAGGGTTTAGGGTTTAGGATTTAGGGTTTGGGGTTTAGGGTTTAGGGTTTAGGGTAAGGCTCTGCCAACCAAAACGGGCACCCCTTTTTTCTAGGTGACTCTTGGGTTTAGTGTTACTGAGGGTAGTTTCATGGGCCCTCAATAGGGCCCTTAACCTCCATTAAAGGGTTCTGCTATATGGGCCCGTGGGTTGTATAGGGTATATAAGGGGTACATAAGTCGTCCCCTTTTAAGGGCCCATATCTTGGACCATGCGCGCACCCTAAACCTAAACCCTAAACTCTAAGCCCTAAATCCAAAAAGGGCCCTTAAAGTAATTCCTTACTTATCAAAACCTTGTTGTGAACCCCTGTTGTGAACCCCCTAAACCCTAAACCCTAAACCCTAAACCCTGAACCCTAAACCCTAAACCCTAAACCCTAAACCCTAAACCCTAAACCCTAAACCCTAAACCCTAAACCCTAAACCTAAACCCTAAACCCTTGCGAGCGCTGGTTGAAAGGTCGACCTGGTTAACTTCTAGCCCTTGAACTCCTTAATCCTGGAAACCCCTAAGCCCCAAAAAGCCCAACCCCTATTAACCCTAAGCCCTAAACCCAAAACCCTAAACCCTAAGCCCTAAGCCCTAAGCCCTAAGCCCTAAGCCCTAAACCCTACCCCAAAGCCTCCGAACCCTGCTCTCCTAAACCCCTGAACCCCCTCGGATCGGAGAAGAAAAAACCTTAAACGCGCGACAGGCTGACCGCATCAACAGCCAGGCCACGCGGATAGCGGCTGCGGAGCTACTGCAGGGCTACGAGGTCATCCACCCTATCTGCACGTTACGGCTTAGGGTTTAGGGTTTAGGATTTAACCATACTCTGGTTTCTTTCATCACTTGGGTTCTGAAGTACCCCCCCCCCCTCCCCGCCGGATTGTACAGGGTGCATAAGGGTTATATCATATCAGGTCTCCTCAACTCTACTACTTGCTTAAACTGCCCAAGAACTGAAAGAGAAAAACCCCAATCATTGCCCTTAAAAGAAGGAAGAACATTATTTTTTGGCTGGGTTCTTAAGCAATTAGTAGAACTATGTATGGGTCCATACCCCTAAACCCTAGGCCCTAAACCCTAAACCCTAAACCCTTAAACCCCTAAACCCTAAACTAAGAGGCCTTGAACCTAGAATTGGAGAAAGTGGTCCTCAACTTTTTCCACTGCTGTCCGTAGTAGGAATGATGGCCGCAAAGCGTCCCTAAACCCTTAGCCCTAAACCCTAAACCCTCACCCCTAAACCCCTAAACCCTAAACCCTAAACCCTAAACCCTAAACCCTAAACCCTAAACCCTAAACCCTAAACCCGAAGCCCCCAATTTGAGGGGATGGCCTAGTCTCGAGATGAATGGCTTTTACAGGGTTAAACTTTATCTTCGGCCGCTGCCGGACATGGCCACACCCCTATATTTTGGGTTTAGGGTTTAGGGTTTAGGGTTTAGGGTTTAGGGTTTAGGGTTTAGGGCTTAGGGTTTAGGGTTTAGGGTTTAGGGTTTAGGGTTTAGGGATAGGGGCTGGAATAGTTACGAATCGTATTCCCTTATGGCCCCCTTTATATGGTTAGTTTCCTAAACTAGGGTCCCTTTTGGGCGGCTATTATAAGGAGGCACCCTTTAAGAAGGGACCCCAAAAGGGACCCTAATTTAGAGAACTACCCATATAGTATACGAGAAGAATCCCCCCCAAAACCCTATGCTCATTATTAAGGCCCCTGTATTGGATATGTGGTGAGAAGCTCACAACCGCAGACAATTGCGAGGGTTTAGGGTTTAGGGCTTTGGGTTTAGGGTTTAGCTTCCCAAACTCGTGTAAACCCAAACCCCAAACCCTATAGCCCACGCGGCGGCTTCTGTGGCTTTCGGGTGTAAGGCTCAGGGGGTAGCTTAGGACTTGTTTAAGGTGGGAGCGCCCCTTACGCGACGGGCGCGTTCCATTCGTTTTGGCGATTCTGGTTGATTCTCGGGTTGGGTTGGGTTGGGGGGGGGGGGGGGGGGTTACGTGCTTTTCGAGAGCACAGGGGTTCATGTTGTAGGTTTCGGGTGCACTCTCTACGTAGTTTTAATATTATTGCGGGCACTATTGTTCTCTTCATTTCGCCCGCATATTTTTTTCTTCTTTCTAATGTTCATTTCGTACACTTGTAATATAATTCACGCGTGTACTCATTCACACACCCAGACAGTAGAATAATGGGGGAAAAAGACCACTTCGTTCACGAGTTTACGCACTAATATTAATACGGTTCATTCACAGGTTTGGTTAATAATTCCAGGGTTTTTAGTGCGTCCATTGAACCTCAGCTCCTTCATGTCTTACCGCGTAAACGCATGAATCTTATGTTTCACTACTTTTAATGAGTGTACGAACCTGTAGAAAGTGCGTGAAAACCGCTCTAAAGATAGAAACCCGGGCCATAATTCTATATCTTCATGAAGAACCCCGTATAATTCTCTTATTCACATAGTAAACCTTAGGACGTTCCCCTAATATTATATTCGTTCTCTATTAGTAATATTCCCTAGAGATTGGATATGCAATAATATTATAAGGAATGAAGGGAGCGATGAAAGGGCTTTTAATAAGTCTTTAGGAGCTAGACCAAATCCCCCAAAACACCTCTAAAAACCTTAGAATTATGTGCTCTTTGCCTTCATTTGTAGGGTCATTCATTGGTTTACAAAAAGCCCAAACATTAGGATTACGAAGAGAAAGCCGAATTAAATTATAACGAATGAAATGAGGCATGAATTTAATAAAGGATTTCGTACTAACTCCTTAATAATAGAAAGTCCATAGAATATTGCACTCAGATGTGTTCAGAGCTCTCTCCAAGCTGTGCCAAGCTGCCAACAAGTGCAGCTGAACAAAGTTTCTCAGACGGTCCGCGGCAAAATGTGCTTTTTGCCTAGGCGGGAACGTCATGGTCGCTCGAAAATAGACACTGTTACACACTTTCGGCCCCTGCAACATAGCAATTCTTAAGCAGACATGTGCGTTTTGCCTGGGTTTCAGCACATTCCACATTCTGGCCATGCCAAAAAACACACGTCGCGCTACAGGCGCTCCTACCTTGTTTAAGGGTACAGGGTTTACAGGGTGGGGCCCCCTTACTATACTAACTGTAGTTAAGGGACTTATAACCTAACTTAGGGTCCTTATAACCCAATTTAGGGCCCGTATAACTCTACTTATAACTAGGGGGCCCCACCCTGTAGGGGTTAGGGTTTAGGGTTTAGGGTTCATCGGGTACTAACCCTAATCCCTTAACCCGAAACCTTAGACCGCTAAACCCCGATCCTTGGACGCAGGACCAGGGCTCGGTGGAGTATGCAGAGTGTTCCCGCGACGCAGACGCCCTGAGCATCCGCGCTGAGATCGGCGACAAGTTTGGTGAGGTCGCCCCCGTAAACCCTAAACCCTACGCCCTGAACCCTAAACCTTAAACCCGAAACCCTAAACCCTAAACCCTAAACACCCTAAACTCCAATTAACCCCTAATTAAGCCCTAAACCCTAGTCTGCTAAGCCTCACACCCCTCAATCCCTAAACGCTTTTTCAGATTGTTCAGACAGCTGATGTTGGTTGCTTACGCGGGGGGTGTGGAGTTCTCCCCTGGGTTTGCTGCATACATGCTTGTGGGAGAACGTGCCCCGAGCCGTAAACGCAAAGCCCAAACCCTCAGCCCCAACCCCCAAACCCCAAACCCTAAGCCCCAAGCCCTATTAGCCCTAAGCCCCCCAAAGCCCTTTGTGGGTATGGTGTTGTTTTTTAGGGTTCAGTCGCTGGGGCCACTCCTTGGCTAGTTACATGGTCCCTTAGTTTGGTCCCTTTGTACGGGGTACCTCCTGCCCTTTAAACACTTATCCGTTTTGCTGCGTAAGGATAGTTCCTGCTGCGGTCCCTGTTTCCCATGTTTAGGGTTTAGGGTTTCGGGTTTAGGGTTTAGGGTTTAGGGTTTAATTGGGGTTTAGGGTTTAGGGTTTAGAGTAGGGTCATGTGGCGTTAGCTGGGCGTGAATTGCAATTCTTCATGCCCCCCTATTGCTTGACTAGAGAAACCTGACCAAGAATCATTCGGGGTGACGGTTGACAGGTATACTCGAGTTTGGGGTTTCGGGAAACCCTCAACGCCCAACCCTAAGCCCTACACTTGCGTTTGCCCGTTGGTGCCTTTAACACACCTGCTGATAACTCTATCGTTGGTGAAATGGATGCTGGCAGATGCTCTGGGCGTGCGTCCCATGCAGCGAGTGTGAGTGCTAGTCCGAAGATGCATGTAACCCTAAACCCTAAACCCTAAACCCTAAACCCTAAACCCTAAACCCTAAACCCTAAACCCTAAACCCTAAACCCTAAACCCTAAACCCTAAACCCCAAACCTTATCTCCGGGAAGTGAACCAGGTGGATTACGCCATCCACGTGCTGCTCCGCGCGGGAATTTCTACTCCGGCACTACGCGACATTGCACGGGCAGGTGCGGTTTATGTCCCTATAAGGGTCCATGTAACTCTGTGGTACATACTTGGGCCCTAAAACTATATATGAGAACCCCTTTACGGCAGACCCCCCCAACCTCCTTTTTTGTGGGCTCTTATCATCAACACCCCAGTAGTGTTCTTAGGGAAGCTACAAAACCCTAATCAAACCCTAACTCATTTACTTCAATGCTTGGTAGCCCAGTGGTACCCTTTTTTTGGTTCAAGGTTCTCTTACCCACCCAAAGAAGGGTGCCCTTATTATAGGATGGTTACTGGGGTACCCTAAACCCTAAACCCTGAACCCTGAACCCTGAACCCTAAACCCTAAACCCTAAACCCTAAACCCTAAACCCTAAATCCTAAATCCTAAACCCTGAACCCAACACAACAACCAGTCCGGCCCTCTGTCTGCAAGGTGTCGACGTTGAGAGCGCGGCCCACTCGGATGTCACGATCCCCTTCTTGCTTCTGAGCTTTTGCAATGGGTAGAATGCCCCTTTAAGCCAAAAACAGCATCGTAAACCGTGAACCCGTAACCCTAGAGCTCCAAGCCACGACCTAAGCTCAGCTGCATTCCCCCTCAAGATTCCTCCCCGAGATCAGGCTATGTCATGCTATGTCAGGGTTTGGGGTTTAGCGTTCAGGGCGTGGGTAGTCTTTGGGGAGAGGGTAGCAGGGGATCGAAATCCTAAACCCCAAGCCCTACTACGGAGTTCAATATGTACTTATATAACCCCAAGTAAGACTGTACTTATAAGCCTCCTCAGCCCTCTAAGCAGGTTATAATTAGACATGTCTAAATTGGGGTTAGAAGTACGCACGAACCTCCAAGTAGGTTTCTGATGCCACTGAATGTCTTCACGCTGGTGGAGATGTTTCTGGATGCCTTCTTCCTACGAAGCGAGTGGTTCTACGCCATCATCCAGGGCTTTTCCTTCCTCTCGCGGGTCGTGCCGCTCGGACCCTTCAAGCCATCCTCTTGCTAGCCCAGTGGTGCCCTGTACTTTTTTTTCTGTTTGGTTCAAGGTTCCCTTGTCAAGCCCTTACGAATTAAGGGGCACTTGGGAGTTTAGGGTTTGGGGTTTTGGGGTTTGTCAGGATGAAAAAGCAATGCCAGACTGCGTGAGACTTCTCTCAAGGGCAAGAGTGGGCTTCGGGTTTGGAATAAGGGAAGAGTTTTCTTCTCGTCAAGATACCAGCCCGGAAAATCAAGCACCACGGGGCATGCAAGCAAAACAAATTGGGGCCGGGTCCAGGCAGACTCTAAGCCCCAAACCCTACAACCCTAAACCCTGAACCTTAAACCCTAAACCCCAAGAAGCACAAGAACCCGAAACCCTAAACCCCAAAACGTACAACTGTCTAATTTCGGGGTCGGAATATTTTCTAATATTATTCCCTTGTGGTCCCTTTATGACCTATGCTATATTAACCCCCCCCCCCCCAGAAAAAAATAATAAACAACAACAAAAAAAAAGAACTGTTCTAATTATGCCTCTATACCTTAAACCCGCTAAGCCCTGAGCCCGATACCTTAGACCCTAGACCCTCTAGCCTATAGCCCTAAGCCCTAAACCCTAAACCCTAAACCCTACAACTGCTCGAGGTTGCTCTTCCTACTTTTTCGGCGCCCCGTCGACGATCGCTGTTTCATCTTGAAGATGATCACGAAGACGGTGGGGCTCGAGGGCTTTTTTTTTTTTTTTTTGGGGGGGGGGGGGGGGGGGAGGGGTCCCGTAAGCCCTAAAGCCTAAGCCCTGCTTGGGTTTAGGGTTTAGGGTTTAGGGTTGAGGGTTGAGGGTTGAGGGTTGAGGGTTGAGGGCTTAGGGCTTAGGGCTTAAGGCTTAGGGCTTAGGGCTTAGGGTTTAGGGTTTGTGTTCAGGGTTTCGGGGTTTTAGGGTTTGAGGAGTTGGGGATTCGGGGGATTTACGAGCTTCACAAGTCCAGCGCTTTTGGATTCTGGGGGGTTGCTGGTGTTGGGGTTCGGGGCCCAGGGCTTCGGGTTTGGGGCTGCAGAGTCTTTGGTTTAGAATTCAGGGCTTTTTCTTGGAGACTAAGCGAGCCCTAAAATCCGTACTCCAACTAGGTGGTTTCGGGTTTAGGGTTTGGTCTAGGGTTTGGTCAGGTTGAGGGGGTAAGCTAAGCTACCACCGGCCCAACCGCCCCCCGTCCCCCCCCTGCGATACGACGATACTGCAAAGGGCATAAGAACCATAAACCGTTTCTGGGCCTAATTGTACGCCTGCATGACCCTAAATCTGACCCCGCCCTAAACCCTAAACCCTAAACCCTAAACTAAACGCCCAAACCCTAAACCCTAAACCCTAAACCCTAAACCCTAAACCCTAAACCCTAAACCCTAAACCCTAAACCCTCCTTCTGGACCATCTTGGTCCCAGGTGGCTGTCCTCATTGTGCTTGTCTGCCCCAACCTGGTGCTGGCGGAGCTGGACCTGCGACTAGTCCCCAGGTCGGTCCTGAGAGACTTGGGGGCGAAAAGGGTTTAGGGTTTAGGGTTTAGGGTTTAGGGTTTAGGGTTTAGGGTTTAGGGTTTAGGGTTTAGGGTTTAGGGTTTAGGGTTTAGGGTTTAGGGCTACCCGATGCTAGACTGCACTGTAAGCGGCCCCAAACCCGAAACTCCAAGCCTCCAGGCCCTCTACACCCCCAAAAAGGGATGTTCTAATCGCTCCCTCAAATTACCCTTATCAGCCTTTGGTGTTTTTTTCGGGGGATTCATGGTACTTCATTCCCTTCGCCCCTTCACCATGCAAGCACCCTAAACCCTAAACCCTCAACCCCTAACCCCTAAACCCTAAACCCTAAACCCTAAACCCCCAACCCGGCCCCAACCCCTAAACCCTAAACCCTAAACCCTAAAACCCTCCAGAAGCAAAGGAGCTTGGTTCTCTCTCCCCATCGCCTCCTTCATCGCCCTCCTGGGCCTCGCGTTGTTGGGACTCCGAGGCAGGGTTTAGGGTTTAGGGTTCAGGGCTCAGGGCTTAGGGTTTAGGGTTTAGGGTTTAGGGTTTAGGGTTTGGGCGGTAGGGGTTTTCGGGGTATATGGGATCTAGGGTTCAGGGGAGTTGGAATTTTGGGTTTCGGGTTTGGGGTTGAGGGGGTTTCGGGATTAGGGGCTTCAGGGCTTCTAAACCCTAAACCCTAAACCCTAAACCCTAAACCCTAAACCCTAAACCCTAAACCCTAAACCCTATTCAGGCTCCGATATTGGGTTGGTGGGGGCTTCAGGGCTTTTAAAGGGGCTCCCAGGTACGGCCGCGCTGCCGGGCGGCCTCTGCCTGTTCCTTGGCCCAAAAGAGCCGACTGGTTTAGGGTTTAGGGTTTAGGGTTTAGGGTTTGGGGTTTAGGGTTTAGGGTTTAGGGTTTATAAGGTTTAGGGTCCCCATGATCCCTAGAAGAGTAACCCTCAACCCCTAAACCCCTTATATAACCCCCCACTCACCAGCCCTAAATCCCAAACCCTAAACCCTAAACCCTAAACCCTAAATCCCAAACCCTAAACCCCTACACCCGAAAAACCCAACAATGCCCGCCAAAAGCCTAAACCCCAAACCCCTCACATTCCTGAAAAGGGGCCGTTTGGGTCCAAGAACACACCCTAAACCCGAACCCTACACCCTGAACCCTAAACCCTAAACCCCAAACCCCAAACCCCAAACCCTAAACCCTAAATCCTAAACCCTAAACCCTAAACCCTAAACCCTAGGCTGCAGCTCTTCTTGGCCCGCGGCTGCCGAGCCCTACGGGGGCTCAGTGGCCTGGCCACGAAGTCCAAGTACGCCAGCACCTTTCCTCCCCCTTGGGAATTACTTTTGATTTTTGGGTTTAGGGTTTAGGGTTTAGGGTTTAGGGTTTAGGGTTTAGGGTTTAGGATTTTTGGGTTAGGGTAAGTTTAGGGTTTTGGGTTCCGGGTTTAGGGTTTAGGGTTTAAGGTTCTAAGGGGAGTAAAGGCACGGACTCATCTCCTGACACGGCGTCCTCCGGGTCGTGAAGCTCTACACCTCAGGCCCTTCGGGATGCTTGGGAATAATTTCTACTTATTTGAAGCTCCACACCTCAGACCCTTAGGGACACTTGGCAATATTTTTTGGGTACTATAGTTCCTAAACCCTAAACCCTAAACCCTAAACCCTAAACCCTAAACCCTAAACCCTAAACCCTAAACCCTAAACCCTAAACCAAAAAGGTCACCCTTTGTATTCCCAGGTTAGGCCGAGTTCTCCGACTCCCTAAGCCCTAAGCTCTGACCCTACAACCCTAAAGCCTGAACCCTAAACCCTAAACCCTAAACCCTAAATGAGGTAGCTCTTAGGCTGCTGCGCAGGCTGTTTTTCGAGCTCGTGAGTGGCCCGACTGGTGTTTGCCGACGCTTGCAAGCCCAAAAAGGATCAGAATGTTCGGTTCAGGGTTTAGGGTTTAGGGTTTAGGGTTTAGGGTTTAGGGTTTATAAGGGTTTAGGGTTTAGGGTTATGGGAACCCCAAACTCTTAGGGTAGTTTCATGGTCCGAAGATATGGGCACTTGAATGGAGATCCCGTATTGACCCCTTGAATGCTCATAAAACCAAGACCCCACGCTTCAGAACCCGGTAAGGGACCATATCAAGGGACCAGGGAACTACGCTGAGACAAACAACCCCAAGAATAGCCAAAACCCCAAGAATAGAAAGAAAAAAGGGAATGCCTGGGTTTAGGGTTTAGGGTTTAGGGTTTAGGGTTTAGGGTTTAGGGTTTAGTTTTTTTTTTTTTTTTTCCGCGGGCCTTGCACCTACAGCAAGTAGTTGGGTCCACGAGGCAAACCCGAGCCTAGGCTTACAAAAAACTGCAGTGCACAAATTAACCCCTAGAAAACCCTAAAACCCAAAACGCTAAAGCCTAAAACCCTGAAGCTTAATTCCCATAAACTCTAAACCTCACTTTTCTTACGAAGCGGAAACATGGAATGGACACTCTTTTCCCCAAATGGTAAAGCCCTGCGGCATCTCGAAGCGCAACCTACTTCCTTAGGGTTTAGGGTTTAGGTAGGGGTTAGGGTGTAGGGTATAGCATGTTATTACAATGACCCTAGATCCTAAAACCCCAAAGTTCAGCTCGTATCTTCCAAGAACAGTAATGAAGGCGTATTTCCAGGGACTAAGACCCGTAACCCCGAAGGTCCCCCTAGTATATTCCCAAATATAGGGTGTAGGGTTTAGGGTTTCGGGTTGAGGGCCTCCTGTGGAATCCAATGCCAGGTCTCATGGTGATCCTTCTAGGCCAGGGTGTAGGTTGTTAGGCCCCCCCACTACCCTAAACCCTAAACCCTATTTGCCCCCCCCCCCCCCCCCCCCGCTGGTCCCTTACAGCTTTTGGTTTTCACACATGTTGAGTTCTCTAGATTGTGGTCCCTTTTGGGGTCCTGACTACAAGGCGGCCCCCCTTATTTCGGGCACACAAGCAGGACCACAATTTAGAGAAATCACCACATATCTCTATATATAAAGATATTATATATATATATATATATATATGTATATGTATGTATGTAAATATGTATAGAAATCACCACATATCTATATGTAAAGATATATATATATATATATATATATATGTATGTATGTATGTATGTATGTATGTATGTATGTGTATATATATACATACCTAGGAGCCCAAAGATGCTATATAGGTGGCCCGTTGAAGACCAAGTACATACTGCATGGATATGTTAACCCGAAAACCTTTCAAGCCCTCAGCCCGAAATGGGATGTAGGGTTAGGGGTCTAGTATGTAGGTACATGGTCCACCCACCATGATCATGGCTTCAGGCTTTTTCGAGGGTTTTAGGGCCCCTTCAGCGCCATTTGATTCTCAATTCCGGGGTAAGGGGGGAGCTGGGGCGGTAGGCTTGCTATCTAGGGTTGTCGAGCACACTTTACTGTATTCTTTTTGGGATACGATGACCCCCCTATAGAACTGAAAGTGTACACTTGTTTTGGGGATTGTGAATTCAGCAACTAAGACCCTTAACCCTAAACCCTAAACCCTAAACCCTAAACCCTAAACCGCTCAAGTATAGGCTTTCAAGGGCTCGAGGTTTCGGGTCTGCCTCCGCCGCCTTGCTCTACCGCTATTCAGGGCAGAGGGATGGGATGTGCCCCCTTATACTAGCAGTCCTTCTAATGGGGATCATTAAGGACTGTTCGTCTAAGAGCCCTAGCCCTAAACCCTAAACCCTAAACCCGAAACCCTAAACCCTAAACCCGAAACCCTTTGTTTTTTGGTGAACATCCCCAACTTGAGGGTTTGTCGATCCACGCTCTCGCCACCGGCTCAAGGAGGAAACTCATCGAGTCAGGGAGGTCTCAGTGCCTCCAAGCGCCTTCGCGCATGCCCGAGTTTCCAGTCGTTGTTTAGATTTTTGCCCGGGTTTGGTGATAGTTCCGCCTCATACCATAGTTTAGAGTTTAGGGTTTAGGGGCCTAGGATTTCGCCCGGCCGTTGCAGGCATACGACTCGGGCGTGCGCACTCCAGCATAGCTTTCACGTTCGATTCCTGTTTCAAGTCTCCGTCCTGCTGAGCGTGTAAACCCTCGAGTTTGGGCAGTTCCAAAAGTATATAAACCTCCAGAGTCTTTTTACCACCCCCCATCCCCAGCCGAGTTTTTTGGAATCCCCCTTCAAAACCCTAAACCTAAAAACTAAAGCCTTAAACCCTAAGCATTGAACCCTAAACCCTATAACCCGACGACCCCGCCGCCCAACAAAAAGTCAAAAAAAACATAGAGAAGACTGCATAAGTTAATACATACTAGTAATGAATAAACCCTAAACCCTAAACCCTAAACCCTAAACCCTAAACCCTAAACCCTAAACCCTAAACCCTAAACCCCAGAGAGACCCCGAATCTCTGGAAACTCACTGTTTTGAGAGGCTCGGACCCCCGGTGCTCCATTGCAAGATTGCGGTTTAGGGTTGAGGGTTTAGGGTTTAGGGTTTAGGGTTTAGGGTTTAGGATGTGGGGTAGAATCCGAAATCCGACAGGCCCTATAAACCTACGAACCCTAGAGTCCTAGAGCACTCAACCTGAATTAACCCTAAGCCCACAATCCGAAACCCCCTAAACCTATGAACCCTAGACACCTTCAACTGTAAACGCCTTCAACCCTAAACCCTGAACCCTCAAAACCCGCAAAACCCACAAAACCCACAAAACCCTCAAAACCCTCAAAACCCTCAACACCCTCAACACCCTCAAAACCCCATGCCCCCCCCCCCCCCTCCCAATACCTCAGACAAAACCAAAAAATCCCTAAAGCCTCATGAGCCCTAAACCTTAAATCCTAAACCCTAAAAACCCTAAACCGTAAAAAACAAAAACTAAAGCCTCATGAGCCCTAGCCCTCTTGACTCTCTAAACCCTGTGAACCCCAACCCCCGGAACCTCATCCCACCTTACTACGGATCCAGGTTCAGGGTTTAGGGTTTAGGGTTTAGGGTTTAGGGCTAAACCCTAGACCCTAAACCCTAAGCCCCATATGAACCCTAGACTCGTGCACAGTCCCAACATCTGGCACGCTCGGCAGCAACGGCTTGTAGCCTGATTTTGTATGACGCCGCTGTTCAAGCCAACATGGCCGTGGTGCAATCTCAGGCACGGCCCTGAGTACCCTATACCCGAACCCTACAGCCTACACCCTAAACCCCAAAAACCCTAAACCCTAAACCCTAAACTACCCTATACTACCCTAAACTACTGCCCTAAAGCCGAGTCTGGAAAGGCGTCGGATCCTACGCTTACGCCAGGCAGCCCTTCCTCTTAAGAACAGCCCAGAACCCCAAGCCCTAAACCCTGCAATGCTTAGGGTTTAGGGTTTAGGGTTGAGGGTTGAGGGTTGAGGGTTGAGGGTTGAGGGTTGAGGGTTGAGGGTTTAAACGGTTCAGGGCTTCGTCACGGGTCAGAGGGGTGGTCATTTTTGGTCACGTAAAGGGTCGCTGATCACTGGCTTGAAACTGAACTTACTTAGCCAACAGTTGAACTTTAAACTTTTTGGGTTTCCTTATTTAGTAGGAAGAAGAAAGTTTAGCCTCTTTTCTCCTTGGATATTGAGAAGCCTCTAAGCTTTATGCAATAGCTCCAGTTTCTGGTTTGGGGGCCTCGGTTTATTAGGTGCGGCCGCCGGGCGGTGAACCCGTTTTGAGTTCAGGGTTTAGGGAGCGAGGGCTGGGGAATTCAGGGTTTAGGGTTCAGGGTTCAGGGCCTTGTCTCGTCTTCGTTTTTCCCCAGTTGTATGCTCTTTCATATAGTACGTTCTTTCCACTAGGAACCGGAGGCCCTCATTCCCTTTTTAGGGCTTCAGTTCCCTCAAAAAGGGTACCCTAAACCCTAAACCCTAAACCCTAAACCCTAAACCCTAAACCCTAAACCCTAAACCCTAAACCCTAAACCCTAAACCCTAAACCCTAAACCCTAAACCCTAGGCTACTCTTGGGCTTCTTTCCGAGAAACCCCCTCCAAAAAAGGACTGCTCCCTCCGAAGAGGGGCCTCTGAGCTCCTTTGAAGTCTACAATGAGTCCGGGGGGGTTAGACCCGAAACCCTAAGGGTTTAGGGTTTAGGGTTTAGGGTTTAGGGTTTAGGGTTTAGGGTTTAGGGTTTCGGGTTTCGGGTTTCGGGAAAACCTAAGGGTTTAGGGCTTTGGGTTCAGGGGTTAGGGTGTAGAGGCTTACCGGTTCCTGGTGGCTTGTGGTCTTGGTCCATGTGAGCGCCTCTTGCCGAGATTACCATTTTGATTCTCTCCAAGGTCCTTTTCGACAACTTACATCCTGAGGGGAACGGAGCGCAGTGCCATGTGATCACAGCAATGCCCTTGTTGCCCTATACTCCTAAACCCTAAACCCTAAACCCGAAACCCTAAACCCTAAACCCTGAATGACTCCCCCCCCCCCACCCGCTAAACTCTAAGTCCTAAACCCCGAGCTCTAAGCCCTAGGCCCTAAGCCTATACAGTAAACCCT